ATGGGATCTTACCTATCAATTCACTGAGTTTGCTAAAGTCTGCATTTTTTAAATCCACTGTCCTTATTTTCCTGTTCTCGCTTTTACTATTTCTTAGAATCGTGAACTCCACCATTTCATGATCACTTTCATCTAAGCTGTCTTCCTCTTTCAAATTCTCAACCATTCCTCCCCATTTTTTACAATCAAATCTAGAACAGTCTCTGCCTTAATAATTTTCTCCACCTTCTCTAATAAAAAATATCTCCAATCTAGTTAGATAATCTGTGCCCTGCTGTGTTATTTTTCTCAACAGGTGTCTGGGTCATCGAAGTCCTCCATCACCCCCAAACTTCTACTTTGGATGATATGGTTAGGTTTTTAAAAAACACTACTTCTGCCTGGGTAAATGGTCTGTAGTAGACCCCTACTATAACATCACCCTTGTTTTTACTCTCTTATTCTTACTTAGAAATTTTCATAAAGTCTGTCTCCTACTTCCATCTCAACATCAGTGCAAGCGTATACATTTTTAAACCAACAAGCCAACACGTCCTCCCTTTTTTCGCTATTTGTAGCCTTCTCACTGGGGGTACGTCTACACTACAGCGCTAATTCGAACTAACTTAGTTCGAATTAGTTAATTCGAACTAAGCTAATTTGAACTAACGCATCTAGAACTAAAAACTAGTTTGAATTAGCATTTTGCTAATTCGAACTAGCGCGTCCACACTGATTGGACGCAGGGGCGCATTTAAGGGCGGCTGAAACCGGTTCTGGCAGGGCATCAGGTCAGTAGTTGCTTTGTGTGGCTGCTGTCTGAGGCTATCTGAGGCTCGTGCTTAAAGGAACCCCCCCCCGGAGAGCCGGTTCTCAGCTTTTCCTGCTTGCTTGCCAACCTCGCCGAGGGGCAGCAAAGGGTTGGTCTCTGTGCCCGTCTTTATCAATGCTTCCCTTCGGGGACGCTGCCGCAGGTGGCAACATGGAGCCAGAGCTCGCCCTGCACCTTCTGGTGCACTTTCTGGACTGGCTGCTGCAAGCCTGCCAGCAATGGCTCGAGGCTGCCTTGCACCACCTGGTGCACGTCAGCCCCCTGCCTCTCCGCCTGGCCGTCCTGGGGGCTGTGGAGGAGTCGTGGCGGGCGGCCCCACACCCCCTGCCCCCC